AAATTAATTTCTTGTGTTATTATGCTATGATATTTGAAAACTACCTTTAAAACCCAGGATGGACTTTATGAGTGATTGGTCATACCTTTTGGATTGTCTAATGCACCTAACACATTTATGAGAGTTATGACTCAAATACTGCGTCTTTTCCAGGGGAAATTTGTGGTGATCTATTTTGATGACATCTTGATCTATAGCCGGTCTAAAGAAGAGCACTTGGATCATTTTCGATAGGTTTTGCTAACATTACATGTAGAAAAATTCTATTCGAACCTTAAAAAGCGCTCCTTTATGCAAACTCAAGTGCTTTTTCTTGGATTTGTTATTTCTGCTCATGTTATTACAGTAGAGAAAATTACTACTATTAGGAAGTGGCCAGAGCAAGAACAATTTCTGAGATTCGAAGCTTTCATGGTTTGGCCACCTTCTACAAACGATTTATTAAGGGGTTTAGTTCCATTATGGCTCCTATCACAGAGTGCATGAAAAAATGGGAGTTTCAATGGACACTTGCTGTAACTAGAGTCTTTCAAGAAATTAAGCAAAAGATAACAGAGACACTCATTCTACGACACCCAAATTTTGTAAGGTATTTGAGATTGCCTGTAATGCATAAAGTGTAGGGACAGATGGAGTTTTGAGTCAAGAGGGTCATCCTATTGCTTACTCCAGTGAAAAACTCAATGAAGCTAAACAACGATACTCTACATATGATAAAGAATTCTTCGCTGTTGTGCAAGTTCTCCGCCATTAGAAGTATTATCTATTTTCATATGAGTTTATGTTGTATTATGATCATTAGACATTGAAATACCTTTACTCCCAAAGAAAATTAAGTGTTAGCCACGTTAGGTGGGTTAAGTTCCTTCAAGAGTAAACTTTTATTCTCCACCACCCAGCAGACATAGAAAATAAGCCTGCAGATGATATTAGCCGTGTAGTTGTTGTTTTACAGACTATGAGTGTCCATGTGATCGAATTTGATGGGATTAAAGATGAGTATGCCTCTTGTCTTGACTTTGGTATCATTTTTTAGGACGTTCAGGTTGGTAACTGTCATGAGTACATTGACTTCCTCCTTAGAGATGATTACTCGTTTAGAGGGCCGCGACTATGTATTCCCCGTACTTCACTTAGGGATTTCCTAATTTGGGAATAACATGCGGGAGGTTTGGTAGGACACTTTGGTAGGGATAAAATATTTGCACTTGTTGAGGACATGTATTATTGGCTCATTTTGAGGCATGACATTACTAGGATATTGTCACAGTATCGGATTTGTCAGTTAGCAAAGGTTAGGAAACAAAACACTGGGTTGTATTCACTATTACCAGTTCCACACACACCATGACGAGACCTTAGTATGGATTTTGTCGTAGAATTGACTAAAATAACCCGTAGTCATGATTCCATTCCAGTTGTTGTGGATTGATTTTCTAAGATGACCCATTTCATTAAAAAAAAAATAGTAACATTTAAACACAAAAAAAAAATAATATTCAAAATAAAAAAAAATAACAAAATTGAGTATTAATATTTGGAAAAATAACAGTAGTAACATTCTCAATAAAAACAGTAACACGAAAAATAACATACCCCAATAAAAACAGTAACATGCTCACAAAAATAATAATATGGTAAATACACACACACACACATAGATATATATATATAGAGAGAGAGAGTGAGAGAGAGAGGAAGATAGAGTATCAATTATTCTTTGAAGACATATCTTCATTGATAGTGAATTAAGGAATGATAATTCTCAAATCAGGAAATTAATTTAAAATTATTTTTAAGGAAGGGTATTGTGGAGTTTTAAAAAAATAGTGGACTTAACTATTTATTAGTAAGATTAAAAATAGCCTTATTCCTAAATAAGTTTCCTTGATGGACTAAACTCATTATAAGTCCTTTAAGGAGGACTCAGCTCCAATTTTCATTTAAAGTTAGGGTTTTTTGTGTGTGAATACAATTTTTTAGACTTATTTGAGCAAAAGTATATGAATAAGTTGTTTACTCTTTTAAGTACAATTTTTATAAAACTTTTTTGTGTTTAGGTACAAAATTCAAATGAATTAAAAACCTTTTTATCTAAACACCCTCCCTTAAATTATGCAGTCATCATTGACAATTATTCAAGGAAACAAATATGTAAAGATTAACAATAGCAATGAGAGTTAAAATAGAGGCATTAATGATCAAAACCCTTCTTCTTCGGTAGCAAGATTCTATGGCAGTGGAATTTGATTAGAATGCCACAAATTATATGTGAATAAACACTGAATTTTTCCAAAAAAAAAAAGAAGAGAGAATTGACCAATATGTTCTGTTAAATATTATGTATTGTTGTTCGTTGTTGGGATATAGGGAAATAAAACTTTTTTTTTAATGGGTGTAACTATTTTTTAATGGGTGTAACTATTTTTTAATAGGTGTAACTATTTTTTTATTTGATATAACTGTTTTTTAATAGGTGTAACTATTTTTTTAATGGATGTAATTGTTTTTTAATAGGTGTAACTATTTTTTTAATGGGTGTAACTATTTTTTAATGTATGTAATTGTTTTTTAATGGGTATAATTATTTTTTAATGGGTATAATTAATGTAATTGTGTTGCTGTAATATTAATATAAATAGAGTAACATAAAATAGGGAGAGAGAGAAATTGTTAGAAAAAATATGCCCCTATTTTACCTCTCATTGCTTGATTGTAGCCAAAATATATGAAAAAAATACAAAAGGTTTCAACTAATCAGCTTTTTACTGAATGTCAATATTGTCATTTTTTAAAAATATACACTTTAGCTCAAATAAAATTTTGTATTATATTTTTGCTCAAATAAATCTAAAAAATTGTATCGACTTTCAAATGACCCTTAAAGTTAAGTTCCATTCAATGTGCTTAAAGATACTAGTCCATTGGGACTCTTTGACATACATAGATGTTGTGGTCTCTTTGACGTGCTAGATTTTGTGACACATTTAGTGTAGCTTACTCCATAAACTTGGGCTTAGACCATTGGGTCCTAAAATAGAAATTGTTAAACATTAATTAGATTCAGGCTTAAAATAATGGCCCAATGACCTGGGCTGACAATTCTTGGTCCATTAGGCTGTCTTGATTCTTGATTCTTTATAATTACTTTTTTTTTTTAAATACGTAAAGATTTGATTTAATTTTTTCATTTCTATCTTATTTTTTCTCTCTGTCTCACTCCATCTCCTCTTATTTCCTTATTCTCTCCCTTTCTCTATCTCTTTATATTAACGTTACAACAACACAATTACACTAATTAGTTATACCAATTAGTTACAATTACCCTATAATACGTCAAATAATTACTCATGTATTCTAATAAAGCAAATAGTTACACTAAACAATTATACAAAATTATAACACCAACTCAATTTGTCATTTAGTTATTTACATAAATCACAGAGTTACAAAATTTAGTATCACGACATGGTTACATCAATTATATACACAAAATTGAGTTTATCATTACACATAAGACTTTATCATTATACTAAATTTGGTATATATATAATTGGTGTAATGATATCATGATACTAAATGGTCCAATATGTAAAGAATTGAATGACAAATTGAGTTGGTGTTATAATTTTGTGTAATTGTTTGGTTTATTAGAACGCATGAGTAACTATTTGGTGTATTATATGACAATCGTAATTGATTGATGTAACTGATTAGTGTAATTGTGTTGTTGTAATGTCGATATAAATAAAGAAAGAAAACACGAAGAGAGAGAAATGATTAGAGAAAATAGGGGGAAAGAGAAAAAATAGGAGAGAGATGAAAAATTAAATTAAATCTTTACATATTTGAAAAGAAAATAAATTATCAATGATAGATAGAGAGAGAAAATAGAGGAGAGATGGAGAAAGAAATGAGGAGAGAGAGATGAAGAGAAAATAGGGGAGAGATAGTGAGAGAATCTAATAAAATCTTTACATATTTAATCAGATATATAATTGTCAATCAAGAATGTATAATTTAAGAAAAGGTATTTAGCTAAAAAAAATTGATTTTATTTGAATTTTGTACCTAAACACAATATATTTTATTTAAATTGAACTTAATAGAGTAAATAACTTATTCATACACTTTTTCCCAAATAAGTCTAAAGAATTGTACTCATAGCAAAAAAATCCTTCAATATTTACTCCTCCCAAGGACCTTCTAAATTCTTTTTTGAAAAATTACACCCAGACTTTCTGAGGTTTGTTACTTAATCTCTCAAACCCCTTGACATTTGAAATATTACACACAAAACCCCTGAGGTTTGTACTCGCGTAAAACTTAGACCGCTGCTACAAATATATCCGTTAATAAATTATACTTAGACCCTATGAAGTTTGTATGTATATAATACTTAGACTCTTTAAGTTTAAAATATTATACTTAAATTAAAAATACTCCAATCAAATATTTTAAATTTTACAACTAAAATTCATGTTCTATTGTATCATTTATTGAAATAAAATTAAAATTAAAAATTTATTTTTTTCTTAAAAAAATCGTAATTAATATACAATTATACTATTTATTGGAATAAAACTAAAAAATCAAGTAAGGGGTCAAACTGTAATGAACACAATATCTTTTAGCTTTAATAGGGATAGTTTGATATTTTAATAGATAGTATAATTAAAACATGACATAATAAGTCCAGTTAAAAATCCATTCCGACTATAAATTCAACCCACAATCTTTGACATCTGAATAATATTGACATCTATATGAGAGAGAGAGAGAGAGAGAGAGAGAGCTTACAAGTGAGAGAATAGCATTTCAGAAAACAAGGTAGAGAGTGAAAGAGCTTCCAAGCAAACATCGAAGAGAGGGAGAGATGTGTCGGGTTATAATTGATTTTGCCAATAAAGGAAATTTTGATTGCTAGGGTTATTACTTCTGCATAATGCAATTGAATTTTAATATTGTTGCTATTTGGATTGTATTATAGGCGTAATGGTATGGTAATGTAAGTTAATTCCACAATAGAATTAGTATTTAGTATAGTTATTGAAAATAGAATAGACTGGGGATGAATAATTTTGTTTAACTTCATACTAAGGATGGCTCAAATTGATGACAGAATGTTCTTATGATGCATATATTTGTATTTTCATCAGGAGAATCTCTACCTCTTATGTCCCTATCAAGAATGTGCCTGACATCCTTTTGTCACCGCTTCTTCTTAGTTATATGGTGGAATGCACACAATTTCACCCAAACATACCGCCATTGAGTTGTTGTATATCTCCGGTGAAGAAGATATCTCCCTCATTTGGGTTTTTTTTGTTCGTTCACTAGACTGCATTCTCGTAGAGGATTGCAAACCAGTGTTAATACAGGAAAAAAGTTCCATGTTCTGGGATGTTGCGAGCAAGAGCTTAGTTTCATTTTATCCGAGGAGAAAACTTCAAATGAAGAGACCCAGTTAGATAGTATTCCCAATACGAAAGAAAGTTTTAATTTTGAGGATCTTAAGGAAAGCCAGAGAAGAAGAAAGATTGGGCTAGCTAACAAGGGGAAAGTGCCATGGAACAAAGGCAAGAGACATAGTGCAGGTACCTCTGTTTATAGATTTTTCTTATGCACAATATATTTCCTGCAGAGATTTCAACAATTTTTAAGTCACCATACTCTATCTGCAGAGACTCGTGAGCGGATCAGACCGAGAACAAAAGAAGCCATGAAAGACCCCAAGGTGAATTCACGTAAGAATATCAGTTTTGGAACTTTGCTTTCTATTTTTTGTTTTTTGGGGCATGAGTACTGCTGAGAAAGTCGGCATAAAGGATTTACTGTGTCATTTCAGTTTTGAGAAATTTATTTCAATATTGGTACATGGTGACATTGAGTGTTCGCTCTCTGATTTTGTTGTTTTGCACCATGACACTGGAAGTATCATTTATTCTCTCTAATTAATTTCGAACTTATGTTTCAGGTTAGAAAGAAGATGTCTGAATGTCCCTGCTCTCTTAGGTACTCGTGATTTGAACAAAGCAGTTTGACAGTCATCTATTTGTTTAGCTGCGTTGGATTCAAAGCTAGCCATATTTTTGTAATCCCGAAAATTAAATAGCCTGAAGGCCTCTGAGAAAATGTCTGTCAGTCTACTATAACTATCAACACAAATGTTTAGAAGGCCCTTCTGTTTCGGATCACTTGTGTTGTCTCTCAACCTTAGTACGAAAACATGATTGCTTGTCGCGTTTAGCAATGATTGGGCAATGGCTATCTGATTTAAACCAATAGCATTTGTATTTGGAACAGGTAGGTTATGGACGAAAACGGTGTAGCAGTAATGATGATCAAGCCCACAACAGTGGTCACAAATCCATATGATCATTTCTTCGGTCTCACTAGTACTAATGGAAGGCTGGATGAAGAGGAAAATAACCATTAGAGAAAATAGAAGGCGGAAACACAAAGAATAAACCATTTTGAGATATTTTTTTGTAGCAATTATGTTCACCATCACAAAAAAAAAAGAAAGTGTTTTTAAAGAAAAAAAAAACTTGTGACAATAGTACTATCACAAGAAGTTTATTGCTATCTCAAACACTATTTGAGACGGGTAGTTACTACCATAAAGACTTTTTTAGGACTCTACTTATTATGACTGCCATTGTGGTGGCATTGGCCGTCATAATAAGTGGAGTCTCACAAGTCTTTATGGCAGCAACAAGTTGTCTCAAATAGTATTTGCAGCAGTAAATAACTCTTTTGTAACAGTACTATCACCACAAAATTTTTTTTTCTTCAAAACACCTTTTTTTTTTAATGACGATGAACACAACTATCACAACAAAAAACTTGTCTTAAAAAACTATAATTCTTATAGTGACTGTACCTGTGCTTTTATTGCTAATCTTCATACGCATCAAAACAATAATCTTACATGCCTCGGTAACATGTCAACACCATTTTATTTTTAGCATAGTGACCATGTGATTTTCTCCTTACTATATTTGTGCATAGACATATGTAATATATCCTCATATATTCATAGTGTTGAAAATGTTGTTTGACATTTCTTGAGTAGGATGGCGTCAAAAGTTTAGTTCGACTTAACATCTTAACCTACGGATATCTAGGTGTATGTTACATTTGAAACTTCAAAATTTTAGTTTTCGATGTGTGATTGATTGCTGTGACTAGCAAATAATATGGTTTTTTTTTCTTGTATGTTTATCTATTGGGCTGTGAAGAGTCATGAAGATGGAAACGATGAACCAACACTAGATTCCATATTTTACAAAATAAAATTCAAATCAACAAATTCTTGTCGCAATCATTTAAGAACAATTGTATGACTCGTGTGTTCCTTCATTACTAAGTTCTTACAATGTTGTCGTAATTATAACCTTCTTGTTGTTAGCTTGCTCAATACTACGTTCCTTATGCAAAACACAACAATCTTAATTATTGGAAAAAAAACGCAACAATCTCCATCCCTCGATTGTTCCATGTTACATAGTTATGTGGTAGCTGAAATTTTAGTTTGAAGGTATGATTTGATTTTTGTGTCCATTAGATAATGTGGTTTCTTCTTCTTTATTTTTTATACAGAGAAGAGTTGTGAAAAATAAATTATAAACTAAAACTACAGTTAAATAAATAAAACTTATCGTATTTAATCATGTCACGTATACACATTGAGAGTTTGGACCGCAGAGGGGGGGGGGGGGTTAGCGAAGTTCAACAAGAGGTTCAATATGTATGTTTAAAATTCAAAGGCACCTAAAAGTGTAAACTTGACGGTGATAAACTCGTTCATATTATATTAAGATTTTTTTTTCTTTCTAATGCGGTATTTCCACACTCAAGGTATTCAATCATATAAATTTGGTGACATGGCTGCCATACCAATTGCACGCAGATAGTGAATTCAACTATAATTGGCCCAATAAGCATGCTTAGAATTGAAACTCACTTAAAAATTGAAATTAGATAACGAGCCTATTCATAGTATATTAAGACTTGTTCACTTCTTTTTCCTTTTGATGGGAGATTTTCACCTTGATATATCAATCAAGAGAAAGAGAAAATATTAATATGAGCATGCATGGTGGTGGTGAGGTACGTAACGACAAGTTCTCTTAATTTTGGTTTGAATAACAAGGAGCCTTCTTCTTAATTGACCTACTTCCTTCTGAGTGGACGGATGAATTATTAGGTTTGGCTATGCCTATGCCATTGCTTGTAGATATATATACTAGTTGTAATATTAGACAAATTTGTGAGTAGATATATGTGATTTTCATGGATATATACAACAATGTTCATGCCTCGACACTCAGTCTCAAGCATAGCAACGGTTGAATAATTGCTTCTGAAGACATGTGTATAGATATATGTAATCCTAATAGATTCGTAGACATGAATTCAATAATCTTCATAGACTCATAGGCAAGAATTTAATAATCTTCATGCATAGACATGGTGACAATGTAACAGCTGCATATGTAATCAAAGGTAGTGTAAACTACCTTCAACACACACACACACACACACGAGACATGGTTCAACCTATATATAAGTTATTATCATATTTCATTCATATAGCATATGTCCTTCCAATGAAGAACTCTCATGATTAGACCAAAGAACAAAGAAGAAAAAAAACTAAAGGAATGATGGATGCTCATTAAGCCACAAGAAGATTCCTAGTGAGCGTTGCCATGTTGATGAGCAACACTTTCATTTGCCCCCACTAATGAGAAGATTGACCGTGGTTATTGCCATCTTAATGAGGATTTTCATTTGTCGATTCTTCGGACCCAATGGGGGATTCTTGAATAGGTTTTGGTATTTATTCACGGGTCTTTTCGCCTTAGATTCAGAAAAAATCATAGAACTGTAATCCCTAGAATTGAATTCCCTAAAGGCCCCCTAGAAAAGATCCGTTATTATACTATAACCTTCCGCATAGATTGTGTAGAGGTCCTTTTGTGTTTTATCTGAAGTTGAATCTATTAACTTCACTATAAAAAGGTGAGTGTGTGTCGCATTTAGTAATGATTGGGAAATCGTTAGTTTAGTTAGAGCATTAGCACTTGCTGATGGAGTTAAAATATGTTGGGTGAAAATTGAAATAAAAGTCAGATGAACAACATGTGTTATAGATTTGTTTGATTAGTTTTGCGGTTCTCGGATCGATACTCATGGAAGGCTGGATGAAGAAGAAGAAGCCATTTTAGTGTTCTCAGGTTTGAAGTTAGGAGAGATGAAATGGAGCGAATTTTGGTGATGGCTCTGGAGATAGTAGTGCTTGTATTTATATCATTAACATCATGAAGAAGCATTAATGCAATAATTATCATTACTCTAAGCATATGCTTATGAAGACCATGCAATTGCTTCTAAAGATGTATGGATATAAATATATGTAATCTTTGTATACGATAATTTTCATGCTTCCATAACATGCATGTCAAGGTTAGTCAAGCATACAATGGTTGAGGGAGGAAGGGTCAGGCGGGGCTTGGGCCCACCCTAAATTTTTTTTGACTTATTAGCAACGAACCACGTGCAATGAAGTTTTGCACATAAAAATATAATCTCTGATTTATCAAATTTAACTTTTCATTGCTCAAATTCTATTATAAGATTAAGAAATCTTTATATGTTCCCAAAATTCGTTGTTTAAACTATAAGAAAAAAGATATAAAAAAATAATTAAAGTTCTATTTTTTTAGAATTTTGTGATTGCGAATAATTTTTTTAGTGATGTTTGAGAAATTAAATTTTTTGAAATTTATTAGATTAAAATTTCACTAATAATTCCTTGAATAAAATAAAATTAATTGTTTACTATAATTAAGAATTAGTTAAGTCAATTGGGATAAGATTTAATATGCTACTTTATAATATATATTATAAAATATAGTAAAATTCTAAAAAATTAAAACTTTACTTAAAAATACACTATAATGTATTTTCACTTAAAATCTTAATACAGTTTAAAAATTTTATTGGAACTGAAGAATTATATTGATATAACGTAAATTGATTTTAAAAAAACTATATACAAGATTATATTTTATGTTAAAGATGAAAGGGTTAAACCTATCGATGAAAAAGGAAATACACTTATGTAGACATAATGTTATATTTACAGATGAGATGAGTAATATTAGATTGATGGAGTTTTTGAAAGTTTTTTGAATACTTTGTTAAAAATATAATGATACACATATTTTAAAAAAATAATATAGTCAATTAAAAAATTTCATAGAAACTGATATTTACATATAAAGAATAGATCATTGCAATTCTTTATAAGAATAAAATAGAGAATCAAAAGTTTTTCATATTAAGGTACTTTTTATTAGTAGAATATAGTTACCTTGCAATTGCTTTGAAAGATGATTGTGCATGGATATATGTAATCTTTATGGATTCATACTCTCATAATCCCATAAGAATTCTCATGCCTCCATTACATGTCAAAGTCATTTTTATCATAATTGGCTCCAAAGGTATTTTTGGTGATGAGTTAATAGGTCCTAATTAGGGCTGATAATCAAGCCATGTTTTACAAGTTTGAGTCAAGTTTGTTGAGTTTGTTTTTCTAAACGAAATTAAATAATTGTTTAAATTTGGCTCGTTTAGAAAATTAGCCGAGTCCAAAACGAGTCTAAAAAATTATTCAAGCTTGGTTCACCTTGAGTCGAGTCTTATCCGAACCGCTGCATATGTAATCAAAGGTAGTGTAAACTACCTTCAACACAAACATACACACACACAAGAGACATGGTTCAACCTAGATATAAGTTATTATCATATTTCATTCATATATCATATATGTCCTTCTAATGAAGAACTCTCATGATTAAACCAAGGTACAAAGAAGAAAAAAGACTACATGACTGATATGTGCTAATTGAGTCACAAGAAGATTCCTAGTGAGCATTGCCATGTTGATGAGCAACATTTTCATTGGCCACTACTAAGGAGAAGATTGATAGTGGTTATTGCCATCTTGATGAGGATTTTCATTTGCCAATTCCTAGGACCCAAAGGAAGATTCTTGAAAATATTTTGACAATCATTAACGGGTCTTTTTGCCTTAGATTCAGTAGAAATCACAGCTCTATAATCCTTGGAATTGAATTCCTAGAAGGCGTCCACGAAAAGATCCATTATTATACTGTAACCTGCAATACAAATTGTGTAGAGGTCTTTCTGTGTTTTATCTGAAGTTGAATCTATCAACTTCACTATAAAAAGGTGAGTGTTTGTAGCATTTAATAATGATTGAGAAATTGTTAGTTGAGTCAGAGCATTAGCATTTGCTGATGGAGTTAAAATGTGTTGGGTGAAAACTGAGGAACAAAAATAAAAGTCAGATGAACAACATGTGTTACAGATTTGTTTGATTAGTGCTTCGGTTCTCGGATT